GGCCCCAAGAGTGCTCCAAAAGCTCCAAGAGGCTCCTCCTCCTCCTCCTCCTCCTCCTCCTCCTCCTCCTCCTCCTCCTCCTCCTCCTCCTCCTCCTCCTCCTCCTCCTCCTCCTCATCCTCCTCCTCCTCCTCCGTTCCTCCCTCTCGCCCTCTTCCTCTTCCTCCCCATAATGTTCCCCGCAGGGTTCTCACAACGGCTGGGGAAACACACAGTCCGATAGCGTGGCCGAGCTCTGGCCACAGCGTTCGGCCGCATGGGCGTTTCCCAAAGGCGGGGGGCGACTGTGACTCCCCGTAAGCGTCTTCGATCTGCCGCCCCCTTAGCATGCCAGTGCTTGGTCTGCCAGCCCCCTGGTGACTTGCCACAGGGGTGCACGGCGTGCCAAACCTCAAGGTAGCTTGGCACTTCCGAGAAAAAATCCGAATGTGGTCTCTTCGATCCCGTTGGCCAGAAAGTATCACTGGAAGTGGAAGGCAAGGACTTTGCCGCTCCAGATGGCTCCAAAATGGCCTTCAAGACGGCCAATGCGGCATCCAAGACGGCCAAGCTGGCCCCAAGAGAGCCCAAGATGGACCCAAAATGTCTCCACAACGGCCCGAGATGCACCCCCGACGACCTAAAACGGCCTCAAGATGGCCCGAGAGACCTCAAAGAGGAGGACCTCCAGGAGGACCTGTGACGCTTGCTCCAAGACGGCCCCATAGGCCTCCTAGATCGCCCCAACACGGCCCACGAGACCCCCAAGAGGCCCGCAAGACGGACCAAGACCGCCCCAAGACGGCCCAAGAGGCCCCGAAGACGGCCCGTAAGCGCCCAAGACGGACCCACGATTACCCAGAGAGGACCCCAAGACGGCCACCGACTGCCAAGAGGCCCCTGAGAGGCCCGTAAGAGGCCCCTAAGATGCTCCAGGATGCCCCCAAAAGGCCTCTCAGAGGCCCCCAAGAGGCTGCCAGGAAACCCCCAAGAGGCCTCAAGAGGGCCTCAAGAGGCCTCCTCGTTTTCCTCTTCGTCTTCGTAGTGGTATTATTATTATTAGTAGTAGCATGCGCATTCTTATTGCTCATAATATGTTATTCTTATCAGTATTATTCCTCTTCTTCGTACTCATGATTTTGCTCCTATTATTCCTCTTCCTCTTCTTCCTCCTCCTCCTCCGCCTCCTCCTCCTCCGCCTCCTCCTCCTCATCATTTGTCTTCCTCTCCCAAGTGTCTCCCGAGGGGAACACACAGATAAACAGCTTGGCCAGACTTCGGCCAAACGGTTGGCCGCATGGGCGTTTCCAAAAGGCGGGGGGCGGCGGTGATTCGCTGCAGGCGTCTTCGATCCGCCACTTCCTTAGCCTGCCAATGATTGGTCTGCCAATCTCTAGAATTACAACCACCGCGCGGACTTCGCGCGCGCTCAGGTTCTCCGCAATCCCAGCTCGCAGCGAGATGTCGAGGGTTAGGCGACGGTTGTGGACAGTACTTGAATCCGGAGTCGCTACAAGAACACGCGAGGAGTGCGAATCATTTTCAAAATGGGGCTCTCGCAGACTCGTCTTAGAACGTTCCAGCAGTTACACAAATGGAGGGCGGTCCCACTTTTTCAATGGGACTTTCGCCTGAGCCCTTCGGCGCGTTTTCAAGATTACGAATGCATCGCGGAGCAACAGTTGCATGGATGTAGGGCGGTCCCTTCTCCAAATGGGGCTCTTGTTTGAGATGCCGCACGACCCTACGACTACACATCTGAGACTGTGCCTCAAGTGCGCGGATGGAGGGCGGTTCCTTTTCAAAGCGAGCCCGTCGCTTGGCACAGCCTTGAACTTGACGCGCTCGGGACAACCGTAGGCAGAACCTATCGTAAGGCCATCGGGAAAACATGTGCTGCGCTGCTTGAGGAGGACGCCCGTCGAAGCACGGCCACACGGGCGCAGGATAAAAAGCGATTCCTTTCCAAGCCCCACTCCCGCCGGCATTGCGGGCCCGTGGGGTGCTCGTCTTCCGGGGGAGGGGCCGGGCGCCTCGCGCCAGGACAAGCCGCACCGGCAGAGACGAACTGAAGGAGGGGAGGCCTGGACGGGGGAGGGCGCGCTGCAGCCTCGCCCACGCCTCTCCGGGCTTAGGCGAGGCATGTCCCCCTACAGCGGAGTCTGGAAGAACAATGATATATATATATATATATATATATAAATATATATATATATTAGTGCTCGCACATACTCGAAAAAGGATCGAACAACCGTCCCCGACTATTGTTTTGCCTATTTCTGAACCTTCCTCCTGCAGAGGGACAGGCCCCACGCAGCTCCGGGCCTGCCCTGGCCGCCCGGAAGACCGATCCCCGGGCCCGTCCGGGCGTGCGCCCTCGCCGAGAAGGGCCCGGGGGGAGCCCGGACTCGCGGCGACGAGGAGCCTCCCCCCAGAGGCCCGAGGAGGGGGCCAACAGCGAGGAAGAGGACATGCCAGCGCGGGGCGGGGTGTGCCAGGCGCCTGCACGGCGCACCGGCAAACAGAGCTGGCTTGGGTCCTTGCCGTTTTCCCCAGGGTCTTCGGGCTGGGTTTCCTACTGCCTTTCCCCGGTTCCTCGGTCTGGGTTCCTTGCTGCCGCTTTGGCCTGGGACCACCCCATGACCCCATGAAGTTCCCAACGCGTTCCGTGGGCCCACGGATTTGTCACTTTGGGTAGCTGGTCTTGACCCCGCTCGCGCCAGCTGAAGTGACTAGTCTAAGGTTCTCTTCGCGGCCCTCATGGGCTCCTCATGGAGCCCCGCAGGCCTCTCCATGAGAGCCTGCGAAAGCCTTCTTCAAGCCAGGAGAGAGCCCCAAGAAGGCCCCCAGGAGAACACACAGACTTGACACTTCGGGTGTGTCTGCCATCCTGCGCGCGCATCCCCCTCTTTGGCAAAGAGCAGTTGCCCCTATCTCTTCGGCTGTCGTTTCTTTGTTTTCCCTCCTCGCTCTTCACTAATCACTCCTCTCGTCGCACGCCTCCGATGGGACGCCAAGGAAGCCCACAGGATGCATTAGGAAATCGATAGGACTCCTTAGGAAACCCATAAGATTCCGCAGGACACCCATTGGATTCCTCAGGAGACCCGTCGGGATCCTGAGAAACTGAATTGAAATCCTTCGGAAATCAAAGGATTCCTGTATCGGAATCCTCTGGAAATGCGTAAGATTATTTCGGGCACCCATACGAATCCGAAGGGAATCGACAGGAAGGAAGCCTTAGAAAATCCATAGGACCCCTAAAGAAATCAATAAAAATCCGATGGAATTCCATGGGGTTCCTTAGGATACCCATTGGAATCCCAAGAAAATCTGCTGGATTCCTGCGGAAATGCATCGGATTCCTGTAGAAATCCATAAACCAGCCTATGGAAATCCAAAGGAATCCTTGGGATATCCATCGGACTCCTAAGGAAGCAATTTGGACCCCTTAGGAAAGCCACTCGATGTTTTAGGAAATTCATAGAAATCCGATGGACATCCATAGGAACCCGTGAGACATCCATAGGAATCCTAAGGACATCGATCGGATTCCTTCGGACACCCACTGGGCCCCTTGGGGAATCCGTCGGAATCCAATGGGAATCAAGAGGGTTCGTTTGGGCATCGATAGGAACCCTAAGAACATCCAATGGACATCTTAAGATATCCATACGAATCCTAAGGGAATCGACTGGATGCCTTAAGAAATCCATAAGATTCCCCAGGACGCCCATAGGAACCCCAAGGGATTTCATTGAAATTCTTAATTCTTAGGAAATCCGAAAAAATAGGACAGCCATAGGATTCCTTTTGGAAATCTATTGGATCCCGATGGACATCTACGAGGATTCTCGAAGATGGTGAAAATGAGGACGATGACGATGAAGACGATGAAGATGATGACTCCTCGCTCTCACGGCTCTTGGCGCTCGGCGAGAGTTGGTTTCTAGAGCTCGCCTGAGAGCTGGAAGCCTTTGGCGGTTCTGTTGGGAGGACAGTTGGGTGTAGGGCATGATTGGAGTTGCACTGTGTCAAAGATCTCGGGTGGCCTTGTCATCATCTTGCAAGAGTCGCTTTGAATCGACCACATGCACTCGTCACGAGTAGTGAAAGCACGGAAGTTCACACCACGCTTTGTGCTGTACCTGCTGGGTCCTCCTCGTTTGCGGCCGATGTTGCCTGCAGCTCCAAGAGAGTGCCAAGACAGCGTCAGAGAGTTCAACTGCATTCCCGAAACATCTGTGCAATGTGACCCCGAAGTCTTGATGGGGCTCGGAATGAACTTGAACAACAAGAGAATGACTGGATTTCCTTGTTTTTTCAGGTGGGACCTCCTGACATGTAGTGCGCAGGAACTGGGGGGGGGCCTAGAAGGCGTGCAAGGAACTCTTGGGAGGCAGTATGGAGGCCGCTGGGGGACTGTTTGGGGGCCTCTTTTGGGCCTCTTCGGGGCTCTTTGGGGCCTCTTCTGGGCTCTTTGGGGACTCTTGGGGCCTCCTAAGGGCCTCTTTGGAGCGGAAAGCCGGGATTGTCGATTCGCGTTCCCCCTGTCGGGCGGCTTTTCGGGCCATCTTGGGGCTCTCTTGGGCTGCCTCGGGGCGCTCTTGGGCCGTCTTGGGGCCTTCTTGGGGGCTCTTTGACGGTCTTGGAGCGGTTTGGGGGGCCTTCTTCGGCCGTCTTGGAGCGGTGAAGCTCGAAAATGCCAGAAGGCTAAAAACCGGAAAGGAAAAAAAAATTGTTTTGGCATATTCGGGCGCTCCCGGAACGCCTATCGGAGCTCTCTTGGGGCCTCTTGGGAGCCTCCTGGGAGCCTGGAGAGCCGTCGGAAGTCTGTCTTGTGCTGCTTGGGGGCATCTTGGGCCGTTCTTTCGCGTTCTGGGAGCTCCTTGGGGTCGTCTTGGGTCGTCCTGGTGCGTTTTGGGGCCTCCCTGGGAGGCCTGGAGGTGGTACCGGGAGTTGCCCCCAGATGTCACGGAGGTGGGGGACGCTCCCTGGGAGGGGGGGGCGTATTTGTTTCAATCCGTATAGAGCTTATCTGCCTACTTTCCTTCCCTTCTCCTGACAGCTCGCCTGGGCACTGTTTCCGGATCCTGCCTCGAGCGCTGCCAGGACGCTGCAGGCAGAGGGCGACGACGGGTGCGCCGCGACGTCTTGCCGGCACTGGTGGGCGGCAACAATGGAGCGACGTCTCGGAGAGGGGCTCTTCGGCACCCCCATCGGGCAAAAGAGGCCGGGCTCAGGCCCCGAGCACCTCGCTGGGAGAAGCGCGCGACAGAGGGCACACGGTCTGGAGCAGCGCCGTGCCCAGGAAGGCGTGCGGCCGGCGCCTGCTGCGGCGAGACTCCACGAGCGACGCTTCTCCGCACCACACGTTCTCGGGCCACTGCGAGCAGAGGCTCTGAGAATCATGCTCAGGGTCGTCGTAGCAGACGTTGTTCCCAGCCAGGCACGCGGAGCAGGGCCCAGCGAAGTCCCAGGCCTTGCCGTGGTGGGCCACAGCCGCTTCGCAGACGCTGGGCTCCCCGCCGGACGCGGAGGGGGAGGTCGTGGGCGCCTCCGTGGGCGCCGGCGTCGGCGTCGGCACCGCCGGCGTGGGCGACGGGGTCGCGGGCGCCTCCGTGGGCGTCGGCGTCGGCGGCGCCAGCGTGGGCGACGGCGTCGTGGGCGCCTCCGTGGGCGCCGGCGTCGGCACCGCAGGCGTGGGCGACGGCGTCGCGGGCGCCTCCGTGGGCGTCGGCGTCGGCGGCGCCAGCGTGGGCGACGGCGTCGTGGGCGCCTCCGTGGGCGCCGGCGTCGGCACCGCAGGCGTGGGCAACGGCGTCACGCTGGGCGCGGAGCCCAGCGCCTGCCTCACAGGCTCGGACCAGCCAACGTCGTCGGAGGCGGCCCACAGGAAGGCCCCGCCGTGCCCGGGGAACGCCGCGGCGACGTCCTGGAGGATGGCGGCGGCCTGGCTGCCGTCCACGTTGCTGCCGGTCCCAGAGCAGTCGGCGATGCAGAAGCCAAACACAACCTTGCTGGCGTCGCCGCCGAAGATATCGTCCACGAGGTGTCCCATGTGCTCTATGGCGGGCTGGGTGTCGATGGCGGGCCTGAGCGGGCCGTTGTAATACTGAGGCAAGAGGTAGTCGACGCTGGAGGCGACCTCCTGGAGGACGCTGAAGTACGGTGCCCCAGCGGCGATATCCCCATCCATGGGCGCGTGGGAAATGATCTTCCCGGCGGGCAGCGCGGCGCGGAGCCCCGTGGTCAAATCCTTCAGGAACTGGCTGGACGTGTCCGTGTGGTCGTACTCGTAGTCGATCCACCACCGTGCCATCGGCACGCTGAGGCGCGTTAAGAACGTGCTCGCTGTCTCGGGTTCTCAAAACCCACGACGGTCCAAGAGGCGCGCAAGATCGCCCCAGGGGCACCCAAGAGGGTCCCAAGAAGGAGAGCTCGCACTGGCTCCGGGAGCTTTCCCTCCGAAGTGGCCCCCTGGACCCGCAACCTGCCCCAAAGGGGCCCCGAGGTCCGCAAGAAGATCCAGAACGCCTCCAAGAGCGCGCCCAGGAGGCCCCCATGAAACTAAAAAAACAGATTCTGCAGGCTTTCAACATACTCGATGTTTCGGGCTCCTGAAAATCCAAGGCAGCCCAAGAGGGAGAACTGGCACTGACCGTTGGGGCCTTTCCGTTTTAGATGGCCCCCCAGACCCCCAACGTGCCCCCGCAAGGCTGAACCCTCTAAGGGGCCCCCAAGAGGCCCTCGAGGCGGCCCCGGAGAAGAAGACGCATCCACGATGCCTTCAGGAAAAAAGAGAGGGGGGAGAAAGAAGGATGATGATGATGATGATGATGATGATGATGATGATGATGATGATGATGATGATGGTGATGATGATGGTGGTGGTGATGAGGATGATGCTGGTGATGATGATGACAACGATGATGATAATGATGATGACGATGATGATGGTGGTGATGATGATGCTGGTGATGATGATGAGGATGATGACGATGATGATGATGATGATGATGATGATGATGATGATGATGGCGATGATGCTGATGCTGATGATGACGATGATGACGACGACGACGACGATGCTGATAATGATGACGACGACGAAGGTGTTGATGATAATGACGATGATGATGGTGGTGATGGTGACGGTGACGGTGATGGTGATGACGATGATGATGAATATTATGATGATGCTGATGATGGTGGTGATGGTGACGGTGATTGTGATAGTGATGATGATGAGGTGGAGGAGGAGGAGAACGAGGATGAGGAGGAGGAGGAGCAGGAGGAGGAGGAGCAGGAAGAGGAGGACCAGTGTAAACCCAATAGTCATCAACGATGTTGGAACAAATCCCCTCTTCATAGGCTCCTACAACGGTTCATCTCCACCGAGGGAACTGCCTCGTCGGAGAACAACCGCTGGAAGATCCTGAAGCATGCCAAAACATTGTTCTCGGGATTCCAACGCCACGGATCAACCTGGCTGTTGCATCTTGACGAGCCTGAATCGTGCCACAACGACATTCCTGGGACTTCAACGCCGAGACTCTATGTAACTGGTGCACCCGCACAGTCCCAAATCTTTCCAAAACACAAATTCTTCTGGTACGTTGATCCTGGGAATCCGTGAAACTCTTGCAAATGATATAAAGGAATGTGCGGGGCGCTAGTACGAGAGCCACATTTTGGAAAGGAACCTCCCTCAATCCGTGAAACTCTTGCACATGTTTTAAACGAATGCACGTGGCGATTAGGCGAGAGCCACATTTTGAAAACGGCCCGCCCTCAATCCGTGAAACTCTTGCCAATGTTCCAACGAATGTGCGCGGCGCTACGGCGAGAACGTCATTTTGAAAACCACTCGCTCTCAATCCGTGAAACTCTTGCCAAATGTTATAGACGAATGTGCCTGGCGATAAGGCGAGAGCCACATTATGAAAACCACTCGCCCTCAATCCGTGAAACTCTTGCCAAATGTTATAGACGAATGCGCCTGGCGATAAGGCGAGAGCCACATTATGGAAACCACTCGCCCTCAATCCGTGAAACTCACTCTTGTGCAAATTGCATAAACGAATGTGCCCGGCGCTGAGGCGAGAGCCACATTTTGATAACGACCCGCCCTCCATCTGTGAAACGGTTGCCAATGTTTAAGCTTCAGGGTCAAACATGGCGAAGAAGTCCCAGGCGAAACGCCGGGCCCGCCCTAAAAATGTGCCTCGGATGCGACAGGGAGACGTTATTATTTATAAGGAAAAGGAATGGAGGAGGAGGAGGATGAGGAGGAGGAGGGAGGAGGAGGAGAAGAGATGAGGAGGAGAGAGAAGGAGGAAAGAGGAGGAAGGAGGATGGACAACAAATGGGCTTTCAGTTCAGCGCTCTGTTTGACCTGGAGCGGGTCTCGCACTCAACCATTTTCTGGCCGCGCCGTTGCGCTGGCGCGGTGGCGGGGTGTGCCGCAGGCAGCCACATATCCACGCCGTCGAAGCCCTGGCTGTCGATGATCTCCACCAAGCGGCTCACCACGCTGTCCACCCTCCCGAAGCAGTATTCCCAACAGTCGTTCACGTCGCCGGCCCAGCTCCCGCCCATGCCCGCGCCGCCGAAGGAGAGCAAGACCTTCGTGCCCGCCTGCCGCCACGTCTCGATCAGGTCGGGCTTGGCCTGGTTGTCGCACGTGGCGGGCACCCCGATGGTACAGCTCTGGTCGCACTGATTCTTCGTGGGGCTCCACGTGTAGCTGACCGCGAAAGAGACGATAACCTTGTCGTAGCCCCGAATCTTGTCCAGGCTCGGGCACGGCAGCCAGTTCTCCACGAACGCCACCAGCTGCTTGCTCCCCTCGGGCTCGGGCTCCGGCTCCGGCTCCGGAGTTTCTGGAGGCTCCGTGGGCGACGTCGGCTCCGTGGGCGATGGCGCGGGCGTTGGGCCCGCGGACGCCCCGCCGCCCTCCACCAGCCGGACGTCCGCGCAGTTCTTGAACTGCTCGCCGCAGAGCACGGGGCCGCCCTGCTCCGCTGGGCACTCGCCCTGGTAGGAGCACACCACGCCATCGCACCACGCGCTTGCGTCCCACCCCTGCCGCTCCATTTCCTGGAAGTAGCACCTGTAGGCGTCCGGGTGCGGCGTGCAACTGTTCGCGCTCATCCACCACCACTGCAGAGTGCAGCTCTCGCATGTGAGGTCGGCGGGGATCCGGTAGTGGAAGCGGTGCTGCGTGCGGGTGAGGTGTGACCCGTTATGGGGTGGGAGGTACCAGTGCCCAGGGTTAGCCTCGTCGTAGGGCTGACAATCACCTCGTGGGTCGTTTGGCTGGCAATCCGCGTGGACCTCCTCTGGCCTGGCCCGGCTCAGGACGTGCTCATTCAGGCATTCCTCCTGCGCCTGGTAGTCACCGGCCTGGCTGTCCAGGCGCTGGTCGCAGAGCCGGAAGACGAAGTGCCCCTTGTGGTGGGCGGTGACGGTGATCACGAACTCGGCCAGCTCCCCCGCCCGCAGCTCGGTCACCGGGCCGACCGCGTCCAGGAAGTGGGCGTTCCCGCAGGTCGCCATTGGAAGGTCGGTGGACCCCAAGCACTGCGGGCAGTAGCCGTTCCCCACGTTGTTGTAGGCCCCGCCGCGCATCTCGGGCTTCGTCAGGAACGCGTGGCCGCTCGCAAGGGCGGGCAGCAGACCCAGGGCCAGGACGAGGGCGGAGCTGCCCATGGCGGGGAGGCTTGGGGCCGCCAGAGGGGACGTTCGAGATTCGGCCTTGCGTCGAGCGGCTCGTGCGCGAAATGGCTGCGGCAGTGCGCGCCTCGGCTGCCCCCCCCCCGCCTCGCCCCCCGCGCCCTGCACCCTGGTCCCCCTCCCCCGAGATGGCTACGATGGGCGACGGCTTTGAATATCGGCCCCAGGGGGGGGCCGTTTCGGGCCGCGGGGCCATCGTGAATGGACTTGAAGCGCAAGATCCTGCCGACAGATGAGGTCGAGAGCTCGGACAGAACCTCTTCTGTTGGCGCACGCGAGGGGGACGAGGCCTCCAAAATGGCTCCCTGTCGGCCCAAGATGCCCCCAGAACGGCCCCAATACGGTTTCCATACGGCCCAAGAGACATCCAAGGCAGCACCTGAGATGACCTCCAAGACGGCTCTGAAGCGACCCGATGAGGGCCCGAGGTCCCAGAGAGGCCCCCAAGACGGCTTCTGACGACGCCAGACGGGCCAGCAACGCCAAAGACGAGCGGAAATTGCACAACGCCCACCCTCGAGAGGACCAAGGAGGCCTCGAAGACGCCTTCAAGAGGCCCCAAGAAGTGCTCCAAAAGCTCCAAAGAGGCCTCCTCCTCCTCCTCCTCCTCCTCCTCCTCCTCCTCCTCCTCCTCCTCCTCCTCCTCCTCCTCCTCCTCTGTTCCTCCCTCTCGCCCTCTTCCTCTTCCTCCCCATAATGTTCCCCGCAGGGTTCCCACAACGGCTGGGGGAACACACAGTCCGATAGCGTGGCCGAGCTCTGGCACAGCGTTCGGCCGCATGGGCGTTTCCCAAAGGCGGGGGGCGACTGTGACTCCCCGTAAGCGTCTTCGATCTGCCGCCCCCTTAGCCTGCCAGTGCTTGGTCTGCCAGCCCCCTGGTGACTTGCCACAGGGGTGCACGGCGTGCCAAACCTCAAGGTAGCTTGGCACTTCCGAGAAAAAATCCGAATGTGGTCTCTTCGATCCCGTTGGCCAGAAAGTATCACTGGAAGTGGAAGGCAAGGACTTTGCCGCTCCAGATGGCTCCAAAATGGCCTTCAAGACGGCCAATGCGGCATCCAAGACGGCCAAGCTGGCCCCAAGAGAGCCCAAGATGGACCCAAAATGTCTCCACAACGGCCCGAGATGCACCCCCGACGACCTAAAACGGCCTCAAGATGGCCCGAGAGACCTCAAAGAGGAGGACCTCCAGGAGGACCTGTGACGCTTGCTCCAAGACGGCCCCATAGGCCTCCTAGATCGCCCCAACACGGCCCACGAGACCCCCAAGAGGCCCGCAAGACGGACCAAGAACGCCCCAAGACGGCCCAAGAGGCCCCGAAGACGGCCCGTAAGCGCCCAAGACGGACCCACGATTACCCAGAGAGGACCCCAAGACGGCCACCGACTGCCAAGAGGCCCCTGAGAGGCCCGTAAGAGGCCCCTAAGATGCTCCAGGATGCCCCCAAAAGGCCTCTCAGAGGCCCCCAAGAGGCTGCCAGGAAACCCCCAAGAGGCCTCAAGAGGGCCTCAAGAGGCCTCCTCGTTTTCCTCTTCGTCTTCGTAGTGGTATTATTATTATTAGTAGTAGCATGCGCATTCTTATTGCTCATAATATGTTATTATTATCAGTATTATTCCTCTTCTTCGTACTCATGATTTTGCTCCTATTATTCCTCTTCCTCTTCTTCCTCCTCCTCCTCCGCCTCCTCCTCCTCCGCCTCCTCCTCATCATCATTTGTCTTCCTCTCCCAAGTGTCTCCCGAGGGGAACACACAGATAAACAGCTTGGCCAGACTTCGGCCAAACGGTTGGCCGCATGGGCGTTTCCAAAAGGCGGGGGGCGGCGGTGATTCGCTGCAGGCGTCTTCGATCCGCCACTTCCTTAGCCTGCCAATGATTGGTCTGCCAATCTCTAGAATTACAACCACCGCGCGGACTTCGCGCGCGCTCAGGTTCTCCGCAATCCCAGCTCGCAGCGAGATGTCGAGGGTTAGGCGACGGTTGTGGACAGTACTTGAATCCGGAGTCGCTACAAGAACACGCGAGGAGTGCGAATCATTTTCAAAATGGGGCTCTCGCAGACTCGTCTTAGAACGTTCCAGCAGTTACACAAATGGAGGGCGGTCCCACTTTTTCAATGGGACTTTCGCCTGAGCCCTTCGGCGCGTTTTCAAGATTACGAATGCATCGCGGAGCAACAGTTGCATGGATGTAGGGCGGTCCCTTCTCCAAATGGGGCTCTTGTTTGAGATGCCGCACGACCCTACGACCACACATCTGAGACTGTGCCTCAAGTGCGCGGATGGAGGGCGGTTCCTTTTCAAAGCGAGCCCGTCGCTTGCACATCCTTGAAATTGAGCGCTTCGGGACAACCTCGGCGAGAACTATCGCGTAAGGCCATCGGGAAACATGTTCTGCGCTGCTTGAGGAGGACCCCGTCGAACCACGGCCTACCCACGGGCAGCAGGATAAAAACGTTCCTTAGTCCTCGCCCACCCTCACCGCCGGCATTGCGGGCCCGTGGGGTGCTCGTCTTTCGGGGGAGGGGCCGGGCGCCTCGCGCCAGGACAAGCCGCACCGGCAGAGACGAATTGAAGGAGGGGAGGCCTGGACGGGGGAGGGCGCGCTGCAGCCTCGCCCACGCCTCTCTGGGCTTAGGCGAGGCACGTCCCCCTACAGCGGAGTCTGGAAGAACAATGAGATATATATATATTATAGTGCTCGCACATACTCGAAAAGGAATCGAACAACCGTCCCCGACTATGTTTTGCCTATTTCTGAACCCTCCTCCTGCAGAGGGACAGGCCCCACGTAGCTCCGGGCCTGCCCTGGCCGCCCGGAAGACCGATCCCCAGGCCCGTCCGGGCGTGCGCCCTCGCCGAGAAGAGCCCGGGGGAGCCTCCCCCCAGAGGCCCGAGGAGGGGGTCAACAGCGAGGAAGAGGAAATGCCATAGTGGGGCGGGGTGTGCCAGGCGCCTGCACGGCGCATCGGCAAACAAAGCTGGCTTGGTTTCCTACTGCCTTCCCCCGTTCCTCGGGCTGGGTTCCTTGCTGCCGCTTTGGCCTAGGACCACCCCATGACCCCATGTTCCCAGTGCGTTCCGTGGGCCCACGGATTTGTCCCTGTGGGTAGCTGGTCTTGACCCCGCTCGCGCCACCTGAAGAGACTAGTCTAAGGTTCTCTTCGCGGCCCTCATGGGCTCCTCATGGAGCCCCGCAGGCCTCTCCAAGAGAGCCTGCGAAAGCCTTCGTCAAGCCAGGAGAGAGCCCCAAGAAGGCCCCCAGGAGAACACACAGACTTGACACGTCGGGTGTGTCTGCCATCCTGCGCGCGCATCCCCCTCTTTGGCAAAGAGCAGTTGCCCCTATCTCTTCGGCTGTCGTTTCTTTGTTTTCTCTCCTCGCTCTTCACTGATCACTCCTCTCGTCGCCCGCCTCCGATGGGAGGCCTCAGGAAGCCCACAGGATGCATTAGGAAATCGATAAGACTCCTTAGGAAACCCCTAAGATTCCGCAGGAAACCCATTGGATTCCTCAGGAGACCCGTCGGGATCCTGAGAAACTGAATTGAAATCCTTCGGAAATCAAAGGATTCCTGTATCGGAATCCTCTGGAAATGCGTACGATTATTCCGGGCACCCATACGAATCCGAAGGGAATCGACAGGAAGGAAGCCTTAGGGAATCCATTGGACCCCTAAAGAAATCAGTAAAAATCCGATGGAATTCCATGGGGTCCCTTAGGATACCCATTGGAATCCCAAGAAAATCTGCTGGATTCCTGCGGAAATGCATCGGATTCCTGTAGAAATCCATAAACCAGCCTATGGAAATCCAAAGGAATCCTTGAGATATCCATCGGACTCCTAAGGAAACAAATTGGACCCCTTAGGAAATCCACTCGATGTGTTGTAGGAAATTCATAGAAATCCGATGGACATCCATAGGAACCCGTGAGACATCCATAGGAATCCTAAGGACATCGATCGGAGTCCTTCGGACACCCACTGGGCCCCTTGGGGAATCCGTCGGAATCCAATGGGAATCAAGAGGGTTCGTTTGGGCATCGATAGGAACCCTAAGAACATCCAATGGATATCTTAAGATATCCATACGAATCCTAAGGAAATCGACTGGATGCCTTAAGAAATCCATAAGATTCCCCAGGACGCCCATAGGAACCCCAAGGAAATTCATTGAAATTCTTAGGAAATCCGAAAAAATAGGACAGCCTAAGTCTGTCTTGTGCTGCTTGGGGGCATCTTGGGCCGTTCTTTCGCGTTCTGGGAGCTCCTTGGGGTCGTCTTGGGTCGTCCTGGTGCGTTTTGGGGCCTCCCTGGGAGGCCTGGAGGTGGTACCGGGAGTTGCCCCCAGATGTCACGGAGGTGGGGGACGCTCCCTGGGAGGGGGGGGCGTATTTGTTTCAATCCGTATAGAGCTTATCTGCCTACTTTCCTTCCCTTCTCCTGACAGCTCGCCTGGGCACTGTTTCCGGATCCTGCCTCGAGCGCTGCCAGGACGCTGCAGGCAGAGGGCGACGACGGGTGCGCCGCGACGTCTTGCCGGCACTGGTGGGCGGCAACAATGGAGCGACGTCTCGGAGAGGGGCTCTTCGGCACCCCCATCGGGCAAAAGAGGCCGGGCTCAGGCCCCGAGCACCTCGCTGGGAGAAGCGCGCGACAGCGTCGTCACGGTCCTGGATCAGCGCCTCGCCAGGAATGGTCGTGCGGGCCGGGCGCCTCTGCGGCGAGACGCCACGAGCGAGCTTCGTCCCCACCACACTTCTCGGCACACTGCGAGCAAGAGGCTCTAGAGAATCATGCTCAGGGTCTGTAGGCAACGTTGGTTCCCAGCAAAAAACGCGAACAGGGCTCCAGCGATTGGCCATGCCTTGCCGTGGTGGGCCAAAGCCGTTCGCAGACGCTGTGCTCCCCAGCCGGACGCGGAGGGGGAGGTCGTGGGCGCCTCCCGTGGCGCGGACGTCGGCGACGCAACCGCCGCGTAGGCGAACGGGTCGCGGGCGGCCTCCGTGGGCGTCGGCATCGGCGGCGGCTAGCGTGGGCAGCACGGGCGTCGTGTCGCCGTCCCGTGGGCCGCCGGCGTATCGGCACCAAGAAACACTCCCCGGCGTGGAGCGACGCGCGTCGCGGGCGCCTCCGTGGGCGTCGGCGTCGGCGGCGCCAGCGTGGGCGACGGCGTCGTGGGCGCCTCCGTGGGCGCCGGCGTCGGCACCGCAGGCGTGGGCGACGGCGTCGCGGGCGCCTCCGTGGGCGTCGGCATCGGCGGCGCCAGCGTGGGCGACGGCGTCGTGGGCGCCTCCGTGGGCGCCGGCGTCGGCACCGCAGGCGTGGGCAACGGCGTCACGCTGGGCGCGGAGCCCAGCGCCTGCCTCACCGGCTCGGACCAGCCAACGTCGTCGGAGGCGGCCCACAAGAAAGCCCCGCCGTGCCCGGGGAACGCCGCGGCGACGTCCTGGAGGATGGCGGCGGCCTGGCTGCCGTCCACGTTGCTGCCGGTCCCAGAGCAGTCGGCGATGCAGAAGCCAAACACAACCTTGCTGGCGTCGCCGCCGAAGATATCGTCCACGAGGTGTCCCATGTGCTCTATGGCGGGCTGGGTGTCGATCGCGGGCCTGAGCGGGCCGTTGTAATACTGAGGCAAGAGGTAGTCGACGCTGGAGGCGACCTCCTGGAGGACTCTGAAGTACGGTGCTCCAGCGGCGATATCCCCATCCATGGGCGCGTGGGAAATGATCTTCCCGGGGGGCAGCGCGGCGCGGAGCCCCGTGGTCAAATCCTTCAGGAACTGGCTGGACGTGTCCGTGTGGTCGTACTCGTAGTCGATCCGCCACCGTGCCATCGGCACGCTGAGGCGCGTTAAGAGCATGCTCGCTGTCTCGGGTTCTCAAAACCCACGACGGCCCAAGAGGCGCGCAAGATCGCCCCAGGGGCACCCAAGAGGGCCCCAAGAAGCAGAGCTCGCACTGGCTCCGGGAGCTTTCCCTCCGACGTGGCCCCCTGGACCCGCAACCTGCCCCAAAGGGGCCCCCGAGGTCCACAAAAAGATCCAGAACGCCTCCAAGAGCGCGCCCAGGAGGCCCCCATGAAACAAAAAAAATATATTCTGCAGGCTTTCAACATACTCGCCGTTTCGGGCTCCAGAAAATCCAAGGCAGCCCAAGAGGGAGAACTGGCACTGACCGTTGGGGCCTTTCCGTTTTAGACGGCCCCCCAGACCCCCAACGTGCCCCCGCGAGGCTGAACCCTCTAAGGGGCCCCCAAGAGGCCCTCGAGGCGGCCCCGGAGAAGAAGACCCATCCACGATGCATTCAGGAAAAAATAGAGGGGGAGCAAGAAGGATGATGATGATGGCGATGATGATGATGATGTTGGTGATGATGATGATGATGATGATGATGATGATGATGATGATGATGGTGATGGTGATGATGATGATGCTGGTGATGATGACAACGATGATGATAATGATGATGACGATGATGATGATGATGGTGGTGATGATGATGCTGGTGACGATGATGATGACGATGATGATGATGAGGATGATGATGAGGATGGCGATGATGATGATGCTGATGCTGGCGATGATGACGACGATGACGACGATGCTGATGATGATGACGACGACGACGAAGGTGTTGATGATAATGACGATGATGATGGTGACGATGATGATGACGATGGTGGTGATGGTGACGGTGACGATGATGGTGATGACGATGATGATGATGATTATTACGATGATGCTGATGATGGTGGTGATGGTGACGGTGATTGTGATAGTGATGATGATGAGGTGGAGGAGGAGGAGAACGAGGATGAGGAGGAGGAGCAGGAGGAGGAGGAGCAGGAAGAGGAGGACCAGTGTAAACCCAATAGTCGTCAACGATGTTGGAACAAATCCCCTCTTCATAGGCTCCTACAACGGCTCATCTCCACCGAGGGAACTGCCTTGTCGGAAAACAACCGCTGGAAGATCCTGAAGCATGCCAAAAAACATTGTTCTCGGGATTCCAACGCCACGGATCAACCTGGCTGTTGCATCTTGACGAGCCTGAATCGTGCCAGAACGACATTCCTGGGACTTCAACGCCGAGACTCTATGTAACTGGTCCACCCGCACAGTCCCAAATCTTTCCAAAACACAATTTGTGGCACGTTGATCCTGGGAATCCGTGAAACTCTTGCAAATGATACAAAGGAATGCGCGGGGCGCTAAGACGAGAGCCACATTTTGGAAAGGAACCTCCCTCAATCCGTGAAACTCTTGCACATGTTTTAAACGAATGCACGTGGCGATTAAGCGAGAGCCACATTTTGAAAACGGCCCGCCCTCAATCCGTGAAACTCTTGCCAATGTTTCAACGAATGTGCGCGGCGCTACGGCGAGAACGGCATTTTGAAAACCACTCGCTCTCAATCCGTGAAACTTTTGCCAATGTTTCAACGAATGTGCGCGGCGCTAAGGCGAGAGCCACATTATGAAAACCACTCGCCCTCAATCCGTGAAACTCTTGCCAATGTTATAGACGAATGTGCCTGGCGCTAAGGCGAGAGCCACATTATGGAAACCACTCGCCCTCAATCCGTGAAACTCACTCTTGTGCAAATTGCATAAACGAATGTGCCCGGCGCTGAGGCGAGAGCCACATTTTGATAACGACCCGCCCTCCATCTGTGAAACGGTTGCCAATGTTTAAGCTTCAGGGTCAGACATGGCGAAGAAGTCCCAGGCGAAACGCCGGGCCCGCCCTAAAAACTTGCCTCGGATGCGACAGGGAGACGTTATTATTTATGAGGAAAAGGAATTGAGGAGGAGGAGGATGAGGAGGAGGAGGAGGAGGGAGGAGGAGGAGAAGAGATGAGGAGGAGAGAGGAGGAAAGAGGAGGAAGGAGGATGGACAACAAATGGGCTTTCAGTTCAGCGCTCTGTTTGACCTGGAGCGGGTCTCGAACTCAACCTTTTTCTGGCCGCGCCGTTGCGCTGGCGCGGTGGCGGGGTGTGCCGCAGGCAGCCACATATCCACGCCGTCGAAGCCCTGGCTGTCGATGATCTCCACCAAGCGGCTCACCACGCTGTCCACCCTCCCGAAGCAGTATTCCCAACAGTCGTTCACGTCGCCGGCCCAGCTCCCGCCCATGCCCGCGCCGCCGAAGGAGAGCAAGACCTTCGTGCCCGCCTGCCGCCACGTCTCGATCAGGTCGGGCTTGGCCTGGTTGTCGCACGTGGCGGGCACCCCGATGGTACAGCTCTGGTCGCACTGATTCTTCGTGGGGTTCCACGTGTAGCTGACCGCGAAAGAGACGATAACCTTGTCGTAGCCCCGAATCTTGTCCAGGCTCGGGCACGGCAGCCAGTTCTCCACGAACGCCACCAGCTGCTTGCTCCCCTCGGGCTCGGGTTCTGGCTCCGGCTCCGGAGTTTCTGGAGGCTCCGTGGGCGACGTCGGCTCCGTGGGCGATGGCGCGGGCGTTGGGCCCGCGGACGCCCCGCCGCCCACCACCAGCCGGACGTCCGCGCAGTTCTTGAACTGCTCGCCGCAGAGCACGGGGCCGCCCTGCTCCGCTGGGCACTCGCCCTGGTAGGAGCACACCACGCCATCGCACCACGCGCTTGCGTCCCACCCCTGCCGCTCCATTTCCTGGAAGTAGCACCTGTAGGCGTCCGGGTGCGGAGTGCAACTGTTCGCGCTCATCCACCACCACTGCAGAGTGCAGCTCTCGCATGTGAGGTCGGCGGGGATCCGGTAGTGGAAGCGGTGCTGCGTGCGGGTGAGGTGTGACCCGTTATGGGGTGGGAGGTACCAGTGCCCAGGGTTAGCCTCGTCGTAGGGCTGACAATCACCTCGTGGGTCGTTTGGCTGGCAATCCGCGTGGACCTCCTCTGGCCTGGCCCGGCTCAGGACGTGCTCATTCAGGCATTCCTCCTGCGCCTGGTAGTCACCGACCTGGCTGTCCAGGCGCTGGTCGCAGAGCCGGAAGACGAAGTGCCCCTTGTGGTGGGCGGTGACGGTGATCACGAACTCGGCCAGCTCCCCCGCCCGCAGCTCGGTCACCGGGCCGACCGCGTCCAGGAAGTGGGCGTTCCCGCAGGTCGCCATTGGAAGGTCGGTGGACCCCAAGCACTGCGGGCAGTAGCCGTTTCCCCAACGTTGTTGGTAGGCCCGCCGCGCATCTCGGGCTTTCGTCAGGAAACTCTGGCCGCTCGCAAAGGCGGGCAGCAGACCCAGGCCAGGACGAGGCGAGCTGCCCATGGCGGGGATGCTTGGGCCGCCAGATGGGAACGTTTCGAGATCGGCCTTGCGTCGGCGGCTCGTGCGCGAAATGGCTGCGGCAGTGCGCGCCTCGGCTGCCACCCCCCCCGCCTCGCCCCCCGCGCCCACCACCCTGGTCCCCCACCCCCGAGATGGCTACGATGGGCGACGGCTTTGAATATCGGCCCCAGGGGGGGGCCGTTTCGGGCCGCGGGGCCATCGTGAATGGACTTTGAAGCCGCAAGATCCTGCCCGACAGATGAGTCAGAAGCTCGGCCAGACCTCTTCTGTTGGCGCCACGCAGAGGGGACGAGGCCTCCCAAATTGGCTTCCCTCATCGGCCCAACATATAGAAGTGCCCCCAGAACGGCCCCAAATACGGTTTTTTCCACACGGCCCAAGAGACATCCAAGGCAGCACCTGAGATGACCTCCAAGACGGCTCTGAAGCGACCCGATGAGGGCCCGAGGTCCCAGAGAGGCCCCCAAGACGGCTTCTGACGACGCCAGACGGGCCAGCAACGCCAAAGACGAGCGGAAATTGCACAACGCCCACCCTCGAGAGGCCCAAGGAGGCCTCGAAGACGCCTTCAAGAGGCCCCAAGAAGTGCTCCAAAAGCTCCAAAGAGGCCTCCTCCTCCTCCTCCTCCTCCTCCTCCTCCTCCTCCTCCTCCTCCTCCTCCTCCTCCTCCTCCTCCTCCTCCTCCGTTCCTCCCTCTCGCCCTCTTCCTCTTCCTCCCCATAATGTTCCCCGCAGGGTTCTCACAACGGCTGGGGGAACACACAGTCCGATAGCGTGGCCGAGCTCTGGCCACAGCGTTCGGCCGCATGGGCGTTTCCCAAAGGCGGGGGGCGACTGTGACTCGCCGTGAGCGTCTTCGATCCGCCGCCCCCTTAGCCTGCCAGTGCTTGGTCTGCCGCCCCCTGGTTACTTACCACACAAGAGAAACCAAAAAAAAAGTAACCATAAGAGGGTGAGGGAAAATCAAAACCAGCAAAAAAAAAAGAAGAGAAAAACAAAATCAAAAAAAAAACAACAAGAGAAGAAAAGTACAAAAAAAAGACGACCACAGGGGTGCACGGCGTGCCAAACCTCAAGGTAGCTTGGCACTTCCGAGAAAAAATCCGAATGTGGTCTCTTCGATCCCGTTGGCCAGAAAGTATCACTGGAAGTGGAAGGCAAGGACTTTGCCGCTCCAGATGGCTCCAAAATGGCCTTCAAGACGGCCAATGCGGCATCCAAGACGGCCAAGCTGGCCCCAAGAGAGCCCAAGATGGACCCAAAATGTCTCCACAACGGCCCGAGATGCACCCCCGACGACCTAAAACGGCCTCAAGATGGCCCGAGAGACCTCAAAGAGGAGGACCTCCAGGAGGACCTGTGACGCTTGCTCCAAGACGGCCCCATAGGCCTCCTAGATCGCCCCAACACGGCCCACGAGACCCCCAAGAGGCCCGCAAGACGGACCAAGAACGCCCCAAGACGGCCCAAGAGGCCCCGAAGACGGCCCGTAAGCGCCCAAGACGGACCCACGATTACCCAGAGAGGACCCCAAGACGGCCACCGACTGCCAAGAGGCCCCTGAGAGGCCCGTAAGAGGCCCCTAAGATGCTCCAGGATGCCCCCAAAAGGCCTCTCAGAGGCCCCCAAGAGGCTGCCAGGAAACCCCCAAGAGGCCTCAAGAGGGCCTCAAGAGGCCTCCTCGTTTTCCTCTTCGTCTTCGTAGTGGTATTATTATTATTAGTAGTAGCATGCGCATTCTTATTGCTCATAATATGTTATTCTTATCAGTATTATTCCTCTTCTTCGTACTCATGATTTTGCTCCTATTATTCCTCTTCCTCTTCTTCCTCCTCCTCCTCCGCCTCCTCCTCCTCCGCCTCCTCCTCCTCATCATTTGTCTTCCTCTCCCAAGTGTCTCCCGAGGGGAACACACAGATAAACAGCTTGGCCAGACTTCGGCCAAACGGTTGGCCGCATGGGCGTTTCCAAAAGGCGGGGGGCGGCGGTGATTCGCTGCAGGCGTCTTCGAAATCCGCCACTTCCTTATCCTGCCAATGATGGTCTGCAACGCTCTAGAAATTTAAGGACCACCGCGCGGACTTCGCGCGCGCTCAGGTTCTCCGCAATCCCAGCTCGCAGCGAGATGTCGAGGGTTAGGCGACGGTTGTGGACAGTACTTGAATCCGGAGTCGCTACAAGAACACGCGAGGAGTGCGAATCATTTTCAAAATGGGGCTCTCGCAGACTCGTCTTAGAACGTTCCAGCAGTTACACAAATGGAGGGCGGTCCCACTTTTTCAATGGGACTTTCGCCTGAGCCCTTCGGCGCGTTTTCAAGATTACGAATGCATCGCGGAGCAACAGTTGCATGGATGTAGGGCGGTCCCTTCTCCAAATGGGGCTCTTGTTTGAGATGCCGCACGACCCTACGACCACACATCTGAGACTGTGCCTCAAGTGCGCGGATGGAGGGCGGTTCCTTTTCCAAGCGAGCCCGTCGCTTGGCACAGCCTTGAACTTGACGCGCTCGGGACAACCGTAGGCAGAACCTATCGTAAGGCCATCGGGAAAACATGTGCTGCGCTGCTTGAGGAGGACGCCCGTCGAAGCACGGCCACACGGGCGCAGGATAAAAAGCGATTCCTTTCCAAGCCCCACTCCCGCCGGCATTGCGGGCCCGTGGGGTGCTCGTCCTTCGGGGGAGGGGCCGGGCGCTTCGCGCCAGGACAAGCCGCACCGGCAGAGACGAATTGAAGGAGGGGAGGCCTGGACGGGGGAGGGCGCGCTGCAGCCTCGCCCACGCCTCTCTGGGCTTAGGCGAGGCATGTCCCCCTACAGCGGAGTCTGGAAGAACAATGAGATATATATATATATATATATATATTAGTGCTCGCACATACTCGGAAAAGAATCGAACAACCGTCCCCGACTATTGTTTTGCCTATTTCTGAACCCTCCTCCTGCAGAGGGACAGGCCCCACGTAGCTCCGGGCCTGCCCTGGCCGCCCGGAAGACCGATCCCCGGGCCCGTCCGGGCGTGCGCCCTCGCCGAGAAGGGCCCGGGGGGAGCCCGGACTCGCGGCGACGAGGAGCCTCCCCCCAGAGGCCCGAGGAGGGGGCCAACAGCGAGGAAGAGGACATGCCAGCGCGGGGCGGGGTGTGCCAGGCGCCTGCACGGCGCACCGGCAAACAGAGCTGGCTTGGGTCCTTGCCGTTTTCCCCAGGGTCTTCGGGCTGGGTTTCCTACTGCCTTTCCCCGGTTCCTCGGTCTGGGTTCCTTGCTGCCGCTTTGGCCTGGGACCACCCCATGATGCCATGAAGTTCCCAATGCGTTCCGTGGGCCCACGGATTTGTCCCTGTGGGTAGCTGGTCTTGATCCCGCTCGCGCCAGCTGAAGTGACTAGTCTAAGGCTCTCTTCGCGGCCCTCATGGGCTCCTCATGGAGCCCCGCAGGCCTCTCCAAGAGAGCCTGCGAAAGCCTTCTTCAAGCCAGGAGAGAGCCCCAAGAAGGCCCCCAGGAGAACCCACAGACTTGACACTTCGGGTGTGTCTGCCATCCTGCGCGCGCATCCCCCTCTTTGGCAAAGAGCAGTTGCCCCTATCTCTTCGGCTGTTGTTTCTTTGTTTTCTCTCCTCGCTCTTCACTGATCACTCCTCTCGTCGCCCGCCTCCGATGGGACGCCTAGGAAACCAACAGGATGCATTAGGAAATCGATTGGACTCCTTAGGAAACCCATAAGATTCCGCAGGACACCCATTGGATTCCTCAGGAGACCAATCGGGATCCTCAGAGACTGAATTGAAATCCTTTGGAAATCAAAAAGATTCCTGTATCGGAATCCTCTGGAAACACGTAAGATTATTTCGGGCATCCATACGAATCCGAAGGGAATCTACAGGAAGCCTTAGGAAATCCATAGGACCCCTAAAGAAATCAATAAAAATCCAATGGAAATCCATGGGGTTCCTTAGGATACCCATTGGAATCCCAAGAAAAACTGCTGGAGTCCTGCGGACATGCATCGGATTCCTGTAGAACTCCATAAACCAGCCTATGGAAATCCAAAGGAATCCTTGGGATATCCATCGGAATCCTAGGGAAACAAATTGGACCCCTTAGGAAATCCACTCGATGTTTATTCCTTCGGACATCCACTGGGCCCCTGGGGGAATCCGTCGGAATCCAATGGGAATTAAGAGGGTTCCTTTGGACATCGATAGGAACCCTAAGAACATCCAATGGAATTCTTAAGATATCCATACGAATCCTAAGGAAATCGACTGGATGCCTTAAGAAATCCATAAGATTCCCCAGGACGCCCATAGGAAACCCAAGGAAAGTCATTGAAATGCTTAGGAAATCCGAAAAAAATAGACAGCCATAGGATTCCTTTTGGAAATCTATTGGCTCCCGATGGACATCTACGAGGATTCTCGAAGATGATGAAAATGAGGACGATGACGATGAAGACGATGAAGATGATGACTCCTCGCTCTTACGGCTCTTGGCGCTCGGCGAGAGTTGGTTTCTAGAGCTCGCCTGAGAGCTGGAAGCCTTTGGCGGTTCTGTTGGGAGGACAGTTGGGTGTAGGGCACGATTGGAGTTAAACTGTGTCAGAAATCTCGGGTGGCCTTGTCATCATCTTGCAAGAGCCGCTTTGAATCGACCTCATGCACTCGTCACGAGTAGTGAAAGCACGGAAGTTCATACCACGCTTTGTGCTGTACCTGCTGGGTCCTCCTCGTTTGCGGCCGATGTTGCCTGCACCTCCAAGAGAGTGCCAAGACAGCGTCAGAGAGTTCAACTGCATTCCCGAAACATCTGTGCAATGTGACCCCGAAGTCTTGATGGGGCTCGGAATGAACTTGAACAACAAGAGAATCACTGGATTTCCTTGTTTTTTCAGGTGGGACCTCCTGACATGTAGTGCGCAGGAACTGGGGGGGGGCCTAGAAGGCGTGCAAGGAACTCTTGGGAGGCAGTATGGAGGCCGCTGGGGGACTGTTTGGGGGCCTCTTTTGGGCCTCTTCGGGGCTCTTTGGGGCCTCTTCGGGGCTCTTTGGGGACTCTTGGGGCCTCCTAAAGGCCTCTTTGGAGCGGAAAGCCGGGATTGTCGATTCGCGTTCCCCCTGTCGGGCGGCTTTTCGGGCCATCTTGGGGCTCTCTTGGGCTGCCTCGGGGCGCTCTTGGGCCGTCTTGGGGCCTTCTTGGGGGCTCTTTGACGGTCTTGGAGCGGTTTGGGGGGCCTTCTTCGGCCGTCTTGGAGCGGTGAAGCTCGAAAATGCCAGAAGGCTAAAAACCGGAAAGGAAAAAAAATGTGTTTTGGCATCTTCGGGCGCTCCCGGAACGCCTATCGGAGCTCTCTTGGGGCCTCTTGGGAGCCTCCTGGGAGCCGGGAGAGCCGTCGGAAGTCTGTCTTGTGCTGCTTGGGGGCATCTTGGGCCGTTCTTTCGCGTTCTGGGAGCTCCTTGGGGTCGTCTTGGGTCGTCCTGGTGCGTTTTGGGGCCTCCCTGGGAGGCCTGGAGGTGGTACCGGGAGTTGCCCCCAGATGTCACGGAGGTGGGGGACGCTCCCTGGGAGGGGGGGCGTATTTGTTTCAATCCGTATAGAGCTTATCTGCCTACTTTCCTTCCCTTCTCCTGACAGCTCGCCTGGGCACTGTTTCCGGATCCTGCCTCGAGCGCTGCCAGGACGCTGCAGGCAGAGGGCGACGACGGGTGCGCGTGCGACGTTCCTTGTCCTTGGCCTGCACTGGTGGCCGGCAACAAACGAGGCGACGTCTCGGAGAGGGTCTCTTCCGCACCCCCATCAGAGGCAAAAGAGGCCGGGCTCAGGCCCGAGCACCTCGCTTGGGAGAAGCGCGCGACAGAGGCACACGGTCCTGGAGTCGCGCCGTGCCCAGGAGGCGTGCGCCAGCCCCAGCGGCCGCCTGCTGCGGCGAGAACTCCACGAGCGACGCTTCCTTCCGCACCACATGGCGTTCTCGGGCCACTGCGCGCAGGAGTGCTCGAGAAGTCATGCTCAGGGTCGTCGTAGCAGACGTTGTTCCCAGCCAGGCACGCGGAGCAGGGCCCAGCGAAGTCCCAGGCCTTGCCGTGGTGGGCCACAGCCGCTTCGCAGACGCTGGGCTCCCCGCCGGACGCGGAGGGGGAGGTCGTGGGCGCCTCCGTGGGCGCCGGCGTCGGCGTCGGCACCGCCGGCGTGGGCGACGGGGTCGCGGGCGCCTCCGTGGCGTCGCCGTCGCGGCGCTAGCGTGGGCGACGGCGTCTGGCGCCTCCGTGGTGCGCCGCGTCGCCCACCGCAGGCGTGGGCGACTCGGCGTCCGCGGGCCCTCCGTGTGCGTCGGCGTCGGCGGCGCCAGCGGGGGCGACGAGCGTCGTGGGCGCATCCGTGGGCGCCGGCGTCGGCACCGCAGGCGTGGGCAACGGCGTCACGCTGGGCGCGGAGCCCAGCGCCTGCCTCACCGGCTCGGACCAGCCAACGTCGTCGGAGGCGGCCCACAAGAAAGCCCCGCCGTGCCCGGGGAACGCCGCGGCGACGTCCTGGAGGATGGCGGCGGCCTGGCTGCCGTCCACGTTGCTGCCGGTCCCAGAGCAGTCGGCGATGCAGAAGCCAAACACAACCTTGCTGGCGTCGCCGCCGAAGATATCGTCCACGAGGTGTCCCATGTGCTCTATGGCGGGCTGGGTGTCGATGGCGGGCCTGAGCGGGCCGTTGTAATACTGAGGCAAGAGGTAGTCGACGCTGGAGGCGACCTCCTGGAGGACTCTGAAGTACGGTGCCCCAGCGGCGATATCCCCATCCATGGGCGCGTGGGAAATGATCTTCCCGGCGGGCAGCGCGGCGCGGAGCCCCGTGGTCAAATCCTTCAGGAACTGGCTGGACGTGTCCGTGTGGTCGTACTCGTAGTCGATCCACCACCGTGCCATCGGCACGCTGAGGCGCGTTAAGAACATGCTCGCTGTCTCGGGTTCTCAAAACCCACGACGGCCCAAGAGGCGCGCAAGATCGCCCCAGGGGCACCCAAGAGGGCCCCAAGAAGGAGAGCTCGCACTGGCTCCGGGAGCTCTCCCTCCGAAGTGGCCCCCTGGATCCGCAACCTGCCCCAAAGGGGCCCCCCGAGGTCCGCAAGAAGATCCAGAACGCCTCCAAGAGCGCGCCCAGGAGGCCCCCATGAAACTAAAAAAACAGATTCTGCAGGCTTTCAACATACTCGCCGTTTCGGGCTCCTGAAAATCCAAGGCAGCCCAAGAGGGAGAACTGGCACTGACCGTTGGGGCCTTTCCATTTTAGATGGCCCCCCAGACCCCCAACGTGCCCCCGCAAGGCTGAACCCTCTAAGGGGCCCCCAAGAGGCCCTCGAGGCGGCCCATGAGAAGAAGACGCATCCACGATGCCTTCAGGAAAAAAGAGAGGGGGGAGAAAGAAGGATGATGATGATGATGATGATGATGGTGATGATGATGATGATGGTGATGATGATGGTGGTGGTGATGAGGATGATGCTGGTGATGATGATGACAACGATGATGATAATGATGATGACGATGATGATGGTGGTGATGATGATGCTGGTGATGATGATGATGACGACGATGATGATGATGATGATGATGATGATGATGATGATGATGGCGATGATGGCGATGATGCTGATGCTGATGATGACGATGATGACGATGATGACGACGATGACGACGATGCTGATGATGATGACGACGACGAAGGTGTTGATGATAATGACGATGATGATGGTGGTGATGGTGACGGTGACGGTGATGGTGATGACGATGATGATGAATATTATGATGATGCTGATGATGGTGGTGATGGTGACGGTGATTGTGATAGTGATGATGATGAGGTGGAGGAGGAGGAGAACGAGGATGAGGAGGAGGAGGAGCAGGAGGAGGAGGAGCAGGAAGAGGAGGACCAGTGTAAACCCAATAGTCATCAACGATGTTGGAACAAATCCCCTCTTCATAGGCTCCTACAACGGTTCATCTCCACCGAGGGAACTGCCTCGTCGGAGAACAACCGCTGGAAGATACTGAAGCATGCCAAAACATTGTTCTCGGGATTCCAACGCCACGGATCAACCTGGCTGTTGCATCTTGACGAGCCTGAATCGTGCCAGAACGACATTCCTGGGACTTCAACGCCGAGACTCTATGTAACTGGTGCACCCGCACAGTCCCAAATCTTTCCAAAACACAATTTTTTCTGGTACGTTGATCCTGGGAATCCGTGAAACTCTTGCAAATGATATAAAGGAATGTGCGGGGCGCTAGTACGAGAGCCACCTTTTGGAAAGGAACCTCCCTCAATCCGTGAAACTCTTGCACATGTTTTAAACGAATGCACGTGGCGATTAGGCGAGAGCCACATTTTGAAAACGGCCCGCCCTCAATCCGTGAAACTCTTGCCAATGTTTCAACGAATGTGCGCGGCGCTACGGCGAGAACGTCATTTTGAAAACCACTCGCTCTCAATCCGTGAAACTCTTGCCAAATGTTATAGACGAATGTGCCTGGCGATAAGGCGAGAGCCACATTATGAAAATCACTCGCCCTCAATCCGTGAAACTCTTGCCAAATGTTATAGACGAATGTGCCTGGCGCTAAGGCGAGAGCCACATTATGAAAACCACTCGCCCTCAATCCGTGAAACTCACTCTTGTGCAAATTGTATAAACGAATGTGCCCGGCGCTGAGGCGAGAGCCACATTTTGATAACGACCCGCCCTCCATCTGTGAAACTGTTGCCAATGTTTAAGCTTCAGGATCAGACATGGCGAAGAAGTCCCAGGCGAAACGTCGGGCCCGCCCTAAAAGCTTGCCTCGGGTGCGACAGGGAGACGTTATTATTTATAAGGAAAAGGAATGGAGGAGGAGGAGGAGGAGGAGGAGGAGGAGGAGAAGGAGGAGGAGGAGGAGGAGGAGGAGGAAGGGAGGAGAAGGAGAAGAGATGAGGAGGAGATAGGAGGAGGAAAGAGGAGGAAGGAGGATGGACAACAAATTGCTTTCAGTGTCAGCGCTCTGTTTTGACCTGGAGCGGGCTCGACTCAACCTTTTGCGTTCTGGCCGCGCCGTTGCGCTGGCGCGGTGGCGGGGTGTGCCTCAGGCAGCCGGATATCCACGCCGTCGAAGCCCTGGCTGTCGATGATCTCCACCAAGCGGCTCACCACGCTGTCCACCCTCCCGAAGCAGTATTCCCAACAGTCGTTCACGTCGCCGGCCCAGCTCCCGCCCATGCCCGCGCCGCCGAAGGAGAGCAAGACCTTCGTGCGCCCTGCCGCCACGTCTCGATCCGGTCGGGCTGGCCTGGGAAGCGTGCGTGGCTGGCAGACCCCGATGGCGTAACCCTGTCGCACTGGATTCTTCGTGGGGCCTCCAGTGTAGCTGACGCGCGAAAGAAACGAACCCTTGTCGTAGCCCCGGAATTATGGCGCGCTCGGGCACGGCAGCCAGTTCTCCACGAACGCCACCAGCTGCTTGCTCCCCTCGGGCTCGGGCTCCGGCTCCGGCTCCGGAGTTTCTGGAGGCTCCGTGGGCGACGTCGGCTCCGTGGGCGATGGCGCGGGCGTTGGGCCCGCGGACGCCCCGCCGCCCTCCACCAGCCGGACATCCGCGCAGTTCTTGAACTGCTCGCCGCAGAGCACGGGGCCGCCCTGCTCCGCTGGGCAGTCGCCCTGGTAGGAGCACACCACGCCATCGCACCACGCGCTTGCGTCCCACCCCTGCCGCTCCATTTCCTGGAAGTAGCACCTGTAGGCGTCCGGGTGCGGCGTGCAACTGTTCGCGCTCATCCACCACCACTGCAGAGTGCAGCTCTCGCATGTGAGGTCGGCGGGGATCCGGTAGTGGAAGCGGTGCTGCGTGCGGGTGAGGTGTGACCCGTTATGGGGTGGGAGGTACCAGTGCCCAGGGTTAGCCTCGTCGTAGGGCTGACAATCACCTCGTGGGTCGTTTGGCTGGCAATCCGCGTGGACCTCCTCTGGCCTGGCCCGGCTCAGGACGTGCTCATTCAGGCATTCCTCCTGCGCATGGTAGTCACCGGTCTGGCTGTCCAGGCGCTGGTCGCAGAGCCGGAAGACGAAGTGCCCCTTGTGGTGGGCGGTGACGGTGATCACGAACTCGGCCAGCTCCCCCGCCCGCAGCTCGGTCACCGGGCCGACCGCGTCCAGGAAGTGGGCGTTCCCGCAGGTCGCCATTGGAAGGTCGGTGGACCCCAAGCACTGCGGGCAGTAGCCGTTACCCACGTTGTTGTAGGCCCCGCCGCGCATCTCGGGCTTCGTCAGGAACGCGTGGCCGCTCGCAAGGGCGGGCAGCAGACCCAGGGCCAGGACGAGGGCGGAGCTGCCCATGGCGGGGAGGCTTGGGGCCGCCAGAGGGGACGTTCGAGATTCGGCCTTGCGTCGAGCGGCTCGTGCGCGAAATGGCTGCGGCAGTGCGCGCCTCGGCTGCCACCCCCCCCGCCTCGCCCCCCGCGCCCTCCACCCTGGTCCCCCTCCCCCGAGATGGCTACGATGGGCGACGGCTTTGAATATCGGCCCCAGGGGGGGGCCGTTTCGGGCCGCGGGGCCATCGTGAATGGACTTGAAGCGCAAGATCCTGCCGACAGATGAGGTCGAGAGCTCGGACAGAACCTCTTCTGTTGGCGCACGCGAGGGGGACGAGGCCTCCAAAATGGCTCCCTGTCGGCCCAAGATGCCCCCAGAACGGCCCCAATACGGTTTCCATACGGCCCAAGAGACATCCAAGGCAGCACCTGAGATGACCTCCAAGACGGCTCTGAAGCGACCCGATGAGGGCCCGAGGTCCCAGAGAGGCCCCCAAGACGGCTTCTGACGACGCCAGACGGGCCAGCAACGCCAAAGACGAGCGGAAATTGCACAACGCCCACCCTCGAGAGGCCCAAGGAGGCCTCGCCTTCAAGAGGCCCCAAGAGTGCTCCAAAAGCTCCAAAGGGCCGTCAAGAGGCCCCAAGAGTACTCCAAAAGCTCCAAAGAGGCCTCCTCCTCCTCCTCCTCCTCCTCCTCCTCCTCCTCCCCTCCTCTCCTTCCTTCCTCCTCCTGCTCCTCCTCCTCCTCCTCCTCCTCCTCCTCCTCCTCCTCCTCCTCCTCCTCCTCCTCCTCCTCCTCCTCCTCCTCCTCCGTTCCTCCCTCTCACCCTCTTCCTCTTCCTCCCCAGAATGTTCCCCGCAGGGTTCCCACAACGGCTGGGGGAACACACAGTCCGATAGTGTGGCCGAGCTCTGGCCACAGCGTTCGGCCGCATGGGCGTTTCCCAAAGGCGGGGGGCGACTGTGACTCGCCGTGAGCGTCTTCGATCCGCCGCCCCCTTAGCCTGCCAGTGCTTGGTCTGCCAAACTCTGGAACCCTGGCTGGCCATGCCAGGAGGCTCCCAGTGGCTCTCGGCCCGTCCCGCCAGCCCCCTGGTGACTTGCCACAAGGGTGCACGGCGTGCCAAACCTCAAGGTAGCTTGGCACTTCCGAAAAACAATCCGAATGTGGTCTCTTCGATCCCGTTGGCCAGAAAGCGTCCCTGAAGGCAAGGATGTTGCCGCTCCAGATGGCTCCAAAATGGCCTTCAAGACGGCCAATGCGGCATCCAAGACGGCCAAGCTGGCCCGAAGAGAGCCCAAGATGGACCCAAAATGTCTCCACAACGGCCCGAGATGCACCCCCGACGACCTAAAATGGCCTCAAGATGGCCCGAGAGACCTCAAAGAGGAGGACCTCCAGGAGGACCTGTGACGCTTGCTCCAGGACGGCCCAATAGGCCTCCTAGATCGCCCCAACACGGCCCACGAGACCCCCAAGAGGCCCGCAAGACGGACCAAGAAAGCCCCAAGACGGCCCAAGAGGCCCCGAAGACGGCCCTTAAGCGCCCACGACGGACCCACGATTACCCAGAGAGGACCCCAAGACTGCCACCGACTGCCAAGAGGTCCCTGAGAGGCCCGTAAGAGGCCCCCTAAAATGCTCCAGGATGCCCCCAAAAGGCCTCTCAGAGGCCCCCAAGAGGCTGCCAGGAAACCCCCATGAGGCCTCAAGAGGTCCTCAAGAGGCATCATATTCTTCTTATTATGATTCGTATTGGTATTATTCTTAGTAGTAGCATTCGCATTCTTACTGTTAATAGTCTTATTATTATTATCATTATTATTCCTCTTCTTCGTACTCATTTTCTTGCTCTCATAATTCCTCTTCCTCTTATTCCTCTTCCTCCTCCTCCTCCGCCTCCTCCTCCGCCTCCTCCTCCTCCTTTGTCTTCCTCTCCCAAGTGTCCCCCGAGAGATTCCACAACGGCAAGGGGAACACACTGATAAACAGCTTGGCCAGACTTCGGCCAAACGGTTGGCCGCATGGGCGTTTCCAAAAGGCGGGGGGCGGCGGTGATTCGCTGCAGGCGTCTTCGATCCGCCACTTCCTTAGCCTGCCGATGATTGGTCTGCCAATATCTAGAATTACAACCACCGCGCGGATTTCGCGCGCGCTCAGGTTCTCCGCACTCCCAGCTCGCAGCGAGATGTCGAGGGTTAGGCGACGGTTGTGGACAGTACTTGAATCTGGAGACGCTACAAGAACACGCGTGGAGTGCGAATCATTTTCAAAATGGGGCTCTCGCAGACTCGTCTTAGAACGTTCCAGCAGTTACACAAATGGAGGGCGGTCCCACTTTTTCAATGGGACTTTCGCCTGAGCCCTTCGGCGCGTTTTCAAGATTACGAATGCATC